GGCTTGGGTTTCTTTCTAAATCCCCTACGAGATATGGAGGCTCACTTCTGATTAGTGGTAGGCAGAAATGAAGCTGGTTAATAAACAGAATCCGATCTCTTGTCTCGGGGTCCCGTGACGGCGAGCTGGACAGCCGAAATTGCAGAGTGTTGCGAAGTATTGAAGAGAAATCTTGTCCTGATAAGTGAATTTCATACTGCACTACGCTCAAAACAAACCTTCTGACAAGGGCCAGTCTCCATTTGCTACCTCGCTTCGTTCTGATCAGAACCCTTAATGGGACTCAAATATAGGATAAAAGCGTTCTGAAAAAACGTTCATCTCACATACCAAAATACCTTAGCCCTTTCATTACAAAATGTTGTTAGTTGCCGAACTTTTTTTGTGCTCACATATCAAGCCTCATTGCTATCGAGGCTTTCAGTAAAAACAATTTTTTTTAATACTTGCTTGTTAAGATTTAAAGTGCCGGATATTTATTAGGCGGCTCAAAACATTTCTTTAAGCCATTCTACACTGATTGAGAGATTGTTTGCACGAGCTAAGCTTTTTTCTCTTTTTCTCAATGGTTTAGATCCTATTTAGAATACAGGAACTCTTTTCATCTAAGGTTTTTTTAAATACCTTAGGGTGATAGTTTATTTTTCCTCATTGAAATGAATAAAACTAGAGATACTATTGCACGTAACCTGGTCTTTTACTCCCAAAAGTCTTGAAAATTGTATCAACTCATCGGCACCCCCAACACCTGTGACAAAATCACGACAGGCGGAACTTTCAGGTCAAGCCAGGCCTCTTAATTTACCTTTATTGTGGAATTGTTCAAGATAAGGCCATTATAATTAACGAGGTTCCTGCATACTTAGTGAATATCGCCGTAACTACTGGCACAACTTTAACCAAATCAGGCCGCTTAAGGTGACGAAGATAAGATTCTCATAAGGAAATGTGTGCCGAGACTGCAGGTGAAATTTTTTGAAATTCATTGGCATCATGAACTTTACTTATTTCCTCATGGAAAATATAATTTTCATTCCTACATCAACTTAAGCAATATAGGGCGACTAAAGTTCTTATTCTATATGTATTGATGGTTACAAAACATATAAAATACACGTGTACAATATATTAAAAATACCTGGTCAAATATTGTTTTCTGTCAGTAGTATTGGGCAATGGGATAGAGGTAGATCATATCCTGTGCTATCCAGTTTTTATTTCTACTTCATATCATTTCACTATATTCTTTTTAACATATTGCACCATCAAAAATATTGGTTACTTAGTACTGTCATTTCGGTTTTTGTGGTCCGCCTTCGGCAACTGTGAAGGGCTACTAACTTTGATGGCCCACATCTGTAAGACGATCTACAGACTTCTTTTCTCTTTTTTACCTTCTTTCTCTTAAGGCCCGCAAACTTCACCGAACCTGTACTCCATACGGCAAAGTTTGTCAACCTGGAGACGTAATTGGCTCCATGATTGATCTGAAAGACATGACAATTAGTACGTTTTCACTATCTTTTTTCCCTCATCTATTCATTGATGTGTTTCCATCTTACATTTTGAAGAGTAAATCAACTTTCAGTCTGTACCTGGTTATTTCTTTGAGACATGTTATTCACCTTATTTCATTTTAAAAATTCTCTCATATTTGGCGCCTCTGATTTAAGCAGTAATCTTGTTCTCTCCTTCTTAACTTCATCTTAAGCTATTGGGAAGTAGAATAAGGGAACGGCTTCTACTGTAAAAATTCCTTGCAAACTATTTTGTGCTTATCTTGGTTTGTTTATTTAATATCCGATTAATATTTTATCTTTCCAGCTTTCTCTCTCAATGGAGAATTGATGATGGACTCCTTGGGCCAAGAGATTGCCTTTAAGGGCCTCAAAGTGGACGAAGGTGAGCAACCACTTTTCATTTTGCATTTTTTCCTTAATCATTAGTCAACTGTGTTTAAAACTCATCTCTATTTTATTCAAGAGGAAAAATTATGGAGATAGTTTTTGGGCTCATCTAATTTATACGAAGAAAAGGCAGGTTTCTCTTAATCTCCTGAGATAGCATCATTGTGGAAACTTCCATTTAGTATGCAATTACATGATGAAGAGATTCGTAAGTCGATCTCACCAGAAGACGATAGCCGATTCTCGTTGTACTGTGGTCGTTTGGCTTTAATTCGACGTCCTTATTGACACAGTCCACGAGGCATCTTTCTTCGTTTCCGGCGAATACGGGTTGAGCTTTCCTTCGTCAAATGACGAGCATCATCAAGGCTGGTACTCATTATTGCGAAGGTCTCAGGTTAACACAAAATCATGAATACTAGTGGTCTCTTTTCTACTTGATATATATACTCATAACGAAAAAAGCTTTCTTAATGTAGATGGATATTAAAAGGTTTGGTTAATTTTCTTATAATCCAATGTGTCTGTGTGCTCATGTGTGCTGAAGTCAGTACCCAAAATCGGCCACAACTTAAAATAATTAAAAAAAGACTATCGATAACCCCAGGTCATCAAAGCTTAGTGACATCTGGAAAAGGCATCACTGAGATTGCGTCAGTTCGTTAGTAATCTCGGTTGAATTGCTGAAATGTAAGCCTGTATGCGGGAAAGTCAGTTTACGAAACCAAAAGTCTGGGGTCACAAGGTTTAATTCCTCAATGAAAGGCATAGCTGTGTAGCCACATATTTTTGTTTTGGCTGAGGAGTTCGACATGCCTGTTGGACAAGTGTAAATTTAGTTAGAACCATCATTCAACTAACAAGTTGAGTCATCAAATAGGTTCAGCTTCGGCAAAGTTTTAATGCTGTTTTAACAAAATTTCAAAACTTTTATGCTTGAACTGTCAAGTTTCAGATGACTCTGCTATGTAGAACTTAAGATTAAGCTTATGACAATTTTTGTATGTATTGAAAATCGCTGAAAAAGTTTTAACTCTCAAATTATTTAATTCTTATTTTTATTTTATTATTGGATTTCCATTATTTATATCTCTTTTTGTTTCAGCCTTTGTTCCTTCTTTTGCTCTTGGATCGGGGCGTCAAGCGAAAATTAATTTCGGCAGCAATGTACAATCATTAAAGTTTTTCACGTATTGTGGCCTCCAGGAAGGTTATAGTCCGTTCTGTGTGTACGTTTTTCCCTTTCCCGCTTTATTCCCTTTCTATTGCGATTGTTTTTTTCCTTCAGCGTAGAATGCCATTCAAAAAAAGGTATTTAAGCGTCAAGTGTCATTTGGCTATGTCTATTTCATACAACTACCTACTTTAAGTTTAATATTTCTGCAATTGACCCCTAAAGTTATAGATGATGTAACGAACCTGTTGATTAGTCTTAGTGTCAAACATTTGAGTTTATCTTTGAAAGATTCATGCCAAAATATGAATTATTATCTTTGCTAAATGCATCACTTAAAATTAGCAATATAATACACAAATACCTAACTTTGTTGTACGTATGGCTTAGTCTTTTTTTCCAAATTTACAGTAACATGGTGCACCCCGCACCACTCTGGTACTCACGAGAGGATCCATCCTTATTCGTCAACGTCGATAAGAAGCATCCACGGCTTGAAGTACAGACCTCGACTGGCGCGTGAGTTCTCAAATCATCGGAATAAATTACTGAAGCGATGACGGAAATAGGTCGCTTAGACCCAGTGGTTGTGGTATCCTCGATGAATTAAGGAGGTTCCGCACTGACCTAAAATTTTACTTAGCTTTACAGCAACATGGGAAAAATGGAAGTCTTGAGGCTTTCGATTAAAAGATTTGTATCATCTTTCGGTTGGGATTCTGGTATGTTTATGAATGGAGATTGAGGTTTTAAAGCGTCCTGCTGACGAATCTAACTGCTACGTATATGCTGTAGTCTTTTTTGTTCATTCAGAAATATCAGTATGCCATAAATTCGGTCCAATGAGTAAGGGACAAGATTACAGAGCTTATTCATACTATGCACCTTTGGTGCCCCATGACCAGCTACAGGTTAATTTTTTTTAAATTATACTTAATCGTAGAATCAAACCTTGTGTGTAATACAGTATCGGCGGATGAACAATAAGATTTTCTCGCATGAAAGAGTTCT